CATTCAAATGAATGGGAAAATTCTACTTCAGCATAACTTCAGGTATCCAAATGTTCAGCTTTTCAAGGACATTCATGCTTCTCTTCAGAAGTTTTCTAAACCTCATACTTTCAAAACATTTAGCTTTTTTTGAAAATTTTGACCCATTCAAATGAATGGGGAAATTCAACTTCAACATAATTTCAGCTATCAAAATGTTCAGCTCCTCAAGGACATTCATGCTTATCTTCAGAATTTTTCTAAACTTCATACTTTTAAAATATTTAGCTTTATTTTGAAAATCTCACTCCATTCAAATGAATAGGAAAATTCTACTTCAGCATACTTTCAGCTAGCAAAACCATTCATATGTCAAAATGTTCAGCATTTTCAGGGCGATCTTTTAGCAGTCAGCGTCCATACGCATTTTTTTCAGAAAATGCATTTTTCTAGTTATCCACTTGATGCTTTATTCACACTTCTTTTTTTTTACTTTGTTCTGTTGTATTGATTGCCTTGTTTTGTAAGGGGACCTTTTTTGAAAATTATCCTATAAATAAAATGTGTTAATAATATTATTGTAACAATTTTAATTTGTAATGTTTGTAGCAAATATTGCAAGCATATTTTTTCTAGTTAACTTCTGTCTGTGTAGTGTGCTCAGTCATTACATACCTTTACTACACTGCTCAAAAAAATTAAGGGAACACTTAATCATCACAGGATAACACTAAGTCACTTAAACTTTGGGGATATCAATCTGTCTATTTGGGAGGCACAAATGATTGTGAATCAGTTTTACCTGCATTGGTGCAAATGAAAGTGACAACAGCTGCAATAGAGAAGCAAAAGCAAGACAACGTCCCAAAAGGGAATGGTTTTGCATGTGATGTCCACAGAGGAATGCTCGCTTCTTATCCTTCCTGACTGATTCTTCTGAAGTTTTGTTTTGCTAGTGTCCTTGTCAGTACTGGTAGCATGAGGCTATACCTGCAGCCCAGTCACTTTGCACAGGTATTCCAGTTACCCCAAGATAGCACATCCATGTGTGCAGTTGCAAGGAGGTTTGGTGTGAGATACCAGGAAACCAGCCATTAGACCAGAAGGGCAGGACAGGACTGTAGAAGGGCAACAACCCAGCAGCAGGACTGGTATCTGCTCCTTTGTGCAAGGAGGAACAGGAGGAGCACTGTGAGAGCCCTACAAAATAATCTCCAGCAGCTACTGGTGTGCATGTCTCTGACCAAACTGTCAAAAGCAGACACAATGGGCCCAACATCTTCTAGTTCAACCTGTTCTCACAGCCCAGCACCATGCAGTGTGATTGGCATTTGCCTAAAAACACCAGCACTGGCAGGTCCACCATTGGTGCCCTGTTCTCTTCATAGATGAGAGCAGATTCACACTGAGCACATGTGATAGGTGTGAAAGTCTGGAGACACTGTGGTGAACATTATGCTGCTTGTAACATCACTGAGTATGACTGGTTTGGCGGTGGGTCACTGATGGTCTGGTGAGGCATATTCTCCATGTCATAGCCAGTGGTACCCTGACTGTTGTGAGGTACCATAATGAAATCCTCAGAGTAATTGTCAGTGTGTAGGCAGTTCCTGGATGATGAAGGTACTGATGTTCTTGACTTCTCATGTTCCCCTGACCTAAATCCAATTGAGCACCTATGGGGCATTATGTATTGGTGCATCTCATGCCACCAAGTATCACCACAGACTGTCCAGGAGCTCACTGATGCCCTGATCCAGGTCTGGGAGGAGATCCCTCCAGACCACCATCTGCGAACCCATCAGGAGCATGCCCAGACATTGTTGGGAGTGCATACAGGCACGCAGGAACCAAACACTTCTGAGTCACATTATGAGTTGCTGTGATGCAATTCACACAATTTGGATGAGCCTGTGATTTCAGCTTTTCACTTAGATTTTCAGTGTGATTTTGAATACAGCCCTCCGTGGGCTGATGACTTTGATTTTCATTGACCACTGTTGTGTCCTTTTGTTCTGATCGAATTATACAATGTACATTAGTAAAGGTTTTGTCCTTGAATAATTCATTCATCAAGATCTGATCTGTTGTGATTTGTTTCCTTATTATTTTGAGTAGTATATGTTGTTATTGAAAACTGGTCTTGAGTTTTGTTGTGCATGACATTAAAAAGGTCTTAAATCTAACTTGGATAAGCCTGCAGATATTCTGTCTGTGCTAGGTTTTTAGAAAAAGCATGCTTAACAATCAACACAGATTGGAGTAACTATTGAGCAGTTAGCCAGTAAACAGCTGGTCTGTTTTAATGCAGGACTCCATTGATCTGTTCCTTGGGAATTATGTTGTTGATGAAGCTGACTGGACCAGCCCCCTGCGTGACCCCAAAGACTGGAAATTTCTGACGGTAAGAACAGCTTGGGAAGATAGGTAACTTGTACATATTTTGCATAGCATGTTTGCAGTTTGATATCAGTATGTGCTGGTACAGTTTGTCAATTTAAATTATGCTAAAAGCTGGAGACACCATGTGAGTTTGACCTGTTGTGCAGTAACATTAGCCAAGTGTATACACCAAATAGTGTCTAACCCATAGACATGGGTCTTCCTGCCAAAAAGTAAAAGAAGGCGAAGTGCTACACCAATCATAGTGCCACATTTGGGGATAATGGACAAATGTGTAGCTTTAATATAGTTTCAAGAGATAATAGCTAGGATCCCTGGTTCAACAGGAACACTCAACCTTGATCCTTCTCATTCCCTTTCCTCACTCTGGCTGGCTGGTTCCTCCAGTGAGGAGTGTTCTTTGAACTTCTTTACAAAGGTAAATGGACTAAGGTAGATGTGAAAAGTTGACTGTGATTTTAGTTAAAAGTACGGGTGGCGATTCCTTTTAGAAGCATTTTTGTTACTTTTCTTAAATTTCTCTTTTCATCCTGATGGCAGTGAATACAATAAATTTACTGACAACATAAAGAAAAAAAACCTGTCGTCTGTGGCAGCAGCAGGCCTGGAAAAAAAGCCTGACTAATAATTTTTCTTGACCCAAGTAAAACCATGGTATGGTAGGCCTGTCAACCTACTTCCTACTTGTGCACCCTTGCACTCAATGCATAAGCCAAGAGTCTCCCACAAGGTATTGCAATTGCAGGTAGACATTTTACCACTCTGCCTTACAGAGGAGGTAGCCATAACAGTTTTTATTTGCAAATGGAGACCGTTGTTACGGGCTAGGCCTTCCCCCTTTAAGACATATAGCCTTATAGATAATGTTGTTGTTGCCAGAAGTTGTTTCCTTCATACAGTGTGAGAAGTGTAAGAGAGAAGACCGCCACACGGAACAGACTCCTTCTACATGCATCCATGGGTGAGGGAAATACCAACAGTAGTCAGCTCTAAGTGTGCAGGTTGGGTTGAAATGTCACCCCAGCATTTATATTAGGTCCTTGGAACCTCTTAAAGAAATTGGCTTGAAGATCTGAGGGACCTTGTAGGTTTGTGCCAATGCACTAATTCAGTGAGGTAAAATGGAGCCAAACCGTTAAGAGCCTTAAAAAAAAAATCAATAACTTAAAGTCAATTCTAAAAAAGACTGGAAGCCAGTGGAGAGGAGCCAGTACCAGGGTTATATGCTCAGATTACCTAATACTTGTCAAAAGACAGGCAGCAGCATTTTGCACCATTTGGAGACAAGCGAGGGAAGACTGGTTAACACCATAGCATAGAGCATTGCAATAATCAAGTCTAGAAGTGATAAAAGCATAGATTGCAATCTCAAAATCATTAAAATAAAGGAATGACTTGATCATGCTTAACAACCTCGGGTGGAAGAACCTAGATTTCACAACTGAGGTGATTTGCTTGTCAAACCTCGTCACCATAAAACATCACCTCTAGATTTTTTACAGTCAGATGTCGAGCTAGGGGGCCCAGGCCCTGGTTAGATGCAATTAAGTTCACCAGGTCACCAAATAACACACACTCAGTCTTATTTTTGTTGAGATTTAAAAAGTTAAGTGCCAACCATGATTTTAAGTCTGTCAGACAAACAGCAGCTGTAATGACATCCCTCTTGATGCCTTTAACGGTAAGTAAATCTGAATGTCATCAGGATAACAATGAAAAGAAAGGCCATATTTCCTTAAGATAGATCCCAGTGGGAGCATGTACAAAGAGAACAAAATGGGACCAAGCACAGATCCTTGGGGGACAGGAAAGGATAGTTGAGGAGGATGAACAGGTACCAATGTTAACAATAAAACGTCTATTAGTGAGAGGACATCTGAACCAGTTAAGAACAGTACCTTGAATTCCTCCGCACTGCTCCAAACGAGATAGGAGGATTTCATGATCCACTGTATCGAAAGCAGCAGTGAGATCTAAAAGCACTAGATCTAGAAGTTGTCTAGAATCCCCGGCATCCCTTGCCAACAGGATATCTCTACTGATTTTTAATAATGCAGACTCAGTACTAAGTTTTGATTTAAAACCAGATTGAAATTGCTCCTCAGTAACATTATCTGTCAATAAAGAGTGGAGTTGGATAAAAACAATCTTCTCCTGAACTTTAGACATAAAAGATAATTTAGAGACTGGTCTAAAATTAGAGAACACTAAAGGGTCAAGGTTTGGCTTTTTGAGAAGAGGCTGGACAATTGCTTTTTTAAAAGCATTTTGAACTGAGCCTGTCCTTAAACATAAATTAATTAGAGCCATAAAGCTAGGCCCAACAGAGTCAAAAACATCTTTAAACAATCTAGTTGGCAAACAATCCAAAGAACAGTGAGATGATTTCATGTGGTGATCCAGTTCAGATAGCATAGGCAAAGATACAGGCTCAACCTGATCAAAGAAAGCAGAATGCAAAGGAATATCAGATGGGTCAGGATTAGTAGAACTGAAGGACTGCCTAATGCTAGTGATTTTATCAGTAAAATATTGAAGAAAACCCTCACATACTGCTACAGATGCCTTGGGATGAGAAGCAAGGTTACACGGGTTGATAACAGAATTAATTTTACTGAACAAGACCTGACGCTTATGACGATTACTGATGACAATCAGTAGGCTACATTAGCAGCATGGCTAACCAAAATTCAACAGAAGCTCACAGGCTGGTAGCGTGAATGAAGCCACTCACATGGACTCATCCCAACGTCATACACACCTACAACACTCCCCCTGCAATCCCACACGCCCCTGACCAGCATAGCCCCTTGCGTTAAAACACAGCAGTTGCATTTTTGCCGGATCAATTTGAATGTATGGTAATGCACTTATATATCTGGGCATCAAAGGCCACATGCAGTGTTTGTGTTTCCAAGACAGAATAAAGCTTGTGCTTTGAATGAAGTTAGCTGGCCTCCTTCTTCACTTCTGTCTGCCTGAAAAGCCTGGACTTCTAAGGCTAGTTACCGGCTACAAGCCAGGGCTAAAGCAGTTTAGCCATGAACCAGAGGTCCCCAACTACAGCTCAGGGCCACAGATCTTGGCGGTTAACACCATTTTGAGAAAGTTACAACTAAAAAGATAAATGGATAGATGGATAGATAATCCTTTTCATCCTTTAATCCTTGTCATTGTAACACATACAATGAAATTTTAAAGTGACCTCCAGTTGGTACAGCAATAAAAAAAACAACATATAAAAACCTAACTGCTAAAAAAAATGAAATAAACAACAGACCTCTCAGACACACACACACAGAGGTATATTATATTGTAGCAGCATTGAGTGTGGTAACTGCTGTTGGGTAAAAACTATTCTTGAATCTAGTGGTCTTTGATTTGATTGCTCTGAACCATCTACCTGATGGCAGCAGTTCAAAGAGTGAACATCCTGGGTGTGAAGTGTCCTTAATGATGATCTGGACTTTTTGAGGCAGCAGGAACTGTGTAGTTTGTCCAGAGTGAGGAGAGGGCAGCCGACGACCTCTTGGGCCGTTTTAATGACCCTCTGGAGCGTTTTCCTCTGAGCCTCTGCGCTCCTGCTGTACCATACACATATACATTATGTAAGAATGCTCTCAGTGGAGCACCGATAGAAGGACACCACCAGTCTCTGGGAGATGTTGTTCTTCCTGAGCAAAGAAGTACAGTCTCTGCTGGGCCTTTTTAAGCAATCCAGAGGTATTCACACCCCAGGTCAGATCCTCCTCAATGTGGACTCCCAGAAAGCGGAAGGCCGGCACCCTATCCACACTGTCTCCGCTGATATACAGTGGCAAGATGTTGGTTTCCTTCCTCCTGAAGTAGACAATGACCTCGTTAGTCTTTGAGGTATTAAGGAACAGATTGTTCTCTCTACAACACACTATCAGCCTCTCCACCTCATCCCTGTAGGCAGTCTCATCTCCCCCTTGCTGTGGCGGGCGGGGGTGCAGTGGTGGGTATACGGAGCAGGGGGCTCAGCACACAGCCTTGTGGTGAACCAGTGCTGAGGCTGAGAGCCGTGGATGTGTGTGGGCCCACTCTCATCCTTTGGCTGTGTCCAGACAGGAAGCTCTCAATTCATGTGCAGGTGGAATATGGAACCCCCAGCACCAGTTTGTGGGGGAGAATGGTGTTGAATGCGGCGCTACAATCTACAAAGAGCAGCCGTGTATAGCTCTCCTGATGCTCCAAGTGGGACAGCACAGCATGGAGGGCTGTGGCTACGGCGTCCTTTGTGGATCTATATTTGCCCTGTATGCAAACCGTTGTGGGTCAGGTGTTGGTGGGAAGAATGGCATAATGTGCCCCATACCAGTTTCTCAAAACACTTCATCACCAGTGCAATGAGTGCAACTGGCCAGTAGTCATTGAGACTGGTTATGTTGGGTTTCTTAGGCAGGAGAACTTCAGGCAGGGTGGGACAGTGGACTGGGCCAGAGACTGGTTGAAGACCCTGGTGAAGACTCCAGCCAGCTGGTCCGCGCAGTCCTTCAGCAAAAGAAGTCAGATGCTGCAAGAAGTAAAACCAGAATTAACATCAGTGTGGCTTTTGAATGATAGTGACAACTGAGAACAAAAGGGGCTGAAAAGTGATGCCATGGTGCACTTATTTCTGCTGGATAGGTAATTATCGGTTTTGTTTTGTTTGGGGGGCATTTATTTTCCTGAAATCTGTAAGTAGTAGTCAGGCAGTGTACATTTTGTTTTGGAGGAGTGGCTTTAGAGAGAAGTCAAAACCAAAGGGTGGGATTTCTTTGGTTGTCTATTTTCTAAATCAAGCTTTTTTTTTTTGCTGGTTTTTCTAGGATTGCCAACCCTACCTTTAACCTTATTCAAACATTACATATGTACAGCATATCTGTATGCAAGCTACCTTGCTTGTTCTCCAGTTAAATTGGCATATAAATTAGATTATCTCTGTGCCCCACATGGTTAAATATTCATAGTAATTATGGCAGTTGAATCTGTAATTGTTATGAGCATCTTGGTGTACCTCATCTGAAAAAAGGTCTGCAGAAACTCCTAGAACATTACTGGGAAAGATGGTCATCTCCCCAATGTCTATAATGAGACTGGTATTCTTTTCCTTTTCTAGTTGCCCATCATCATGGTGGTGGCATTCTCCATGTGTATTATCTGCCTGCTAATGGCTGGTAA